ATATATATATAGAAAGATCAATTCGAAACATTTTTAGACCTAATGCATGAGAAACATCCGCCCGACTATAAATAAAACAGGGTAAAAAGCAGTAATGATTCGGAGAGAAGTTTGGTTTTTAAATGGCTCACAATTCTGACTACTTTGCAAAGATGAAGCACGTAACTTTCTCAAGTTACCACTAATATTACCGGGTTCTTGATGTTTTTTTAATAAAAGATAAAAACATTTATATTTGAATTTTATGCAAATAAGCGATTGTATTTAATTAAAAACATAACTAATTCGTTTCCTTACGGTGGCGTTTGCTGTAGTTGGCGGGCTTGCACGGCGGTCCGTCACGAGAATGGTGAGCTCATAAGGTCCGGGTTGCTGCTCCCGATCTAAGGGTTCAGCCGTCTCGACGAGTCCTGTATGTAGGTCGATGGCAAAACGTCTGCCCTGGGGCGCTCCTCTAGCTGCCACCGCTGTAAGGTAGTATTCTAATTCCGAACTGGGCGCCGATGGTAACGCTCGCACGCTTAGTACTGGCGTTCCAACAGGTTCATTTTCACTCACAGACCCGATGTACTGTTTACGCTCAAAGCGTGGCGCCGGCCTATCGCTATCCATGGATGTTGATAGAATAGTCACTGTTCTATTGGTGAAACGCCGCTGAGAAAGTGACGCTTCGTCGTAAGCTCTCACTGTTAACTGATAACTGACTTGACGTTCGGAAACAGGAGGCAATCGACGACTTAGAAGAATTTCGCCAGTGCTTCTATCCAAATGGAATAGATCCTGATGACCGTGACCATCTACCAATTCATAGCCGACCCGACCGTTCGCACCAGCATCAGGATCGGTAGCGGCTACGACAGCAACTCGATGACCTCGTTCAGCTTCAGCCGGCAACGAGGCAGCCGGAAGTGAGATGAAACGCGGGGCATTGTCGTTAACATCTTCGACGAGTACTGTAACAGCCTTGTGTGCACTCCTCGCCGGTGTCCCGTGGTCGATCGCTGTTATCGTTAAAGAGTAGCTATCGACCAGCTCGCGATCCATCCCTCGAGTGGTGTACAAGGCCCCTGTGTCAGGCCGGATACGAAAGTGCATAGATTCCGTGGCAGGACTCTGCGCGCTCAATGCATAAGTGATACGAGCATTCTGTTGCGAATCACGATCGCTGGCAACCACAGTTGCTACCAGTGTATCGGCTGGTACCCCTTCGTGCAAGGTGCGAACTATTGCGCCGTTCGGGAACACCGGAGCATTGTCATTGACATCTGCCACGCGTACAGTAAACAGGATTACCGATGTAAGTCGAGGCGAACCACCATCAGACGCAGTGATATTCAATGTGTAAACTTTGTGTAGTTCATAGTCGAGTGGCTTATGCAGCCGGAGTATACCAGTTGTAGGGTCCATACGAAATGTGTCCTTAATATTTCCAGTTCTAATGGAAAAGGATACTTCGCCATTAACACCGAGATCGTCATCTGTAGCAGCGAACTGGTGGATTCGAATACCAAGTTCGGCATCTTCAGGAACTTCGGCACCCTGGCTATAATTAGCTGGTCCATCGATGCGAAACACGGGGGCGCAGTCGTTCTCATCAAGGACAGTCACCCGAACCATTGTCATGGCCGATCGACGGAGGGTCGGTGGAGCAGCATCACTTGCTACCACCGTCAAACTAAACTCAGCCTGACGCTCTCGATCCAACCGCGCTGCCAGAAAAATTTGCCCACTCTGTTCATCAACAGAAAATGCATCGGCGTGCTTGCCAACTAGCGCATAGTACACTAATCCGTTTACCCCAGAATCAGGATCGCTGGCGGAAACCCGCGCCACTTGTGCACGTAGTGGGGTGGCTTCCGAAAGCGAGACCTTATAAACAAGTCGACTAAAAGTGGGTGCATTATCATTTTCGTCATCGATGTGGACTACCACACGAGCTGTGGCTGACAAGCGTGGTACGCCATTATCACAAACCGTTACCTCAAGAGTTAGATCTCCATGGCCAAACGTCTGCACAAGTTGTTCGCGGTCGAATGACCTCAAAGTTCGAATGACGCCTGATTTCGTATCCACAGAGAAATCGCTCAGATGTGCGGCAGCCAGTGAAAAACTGAGTTCCGCGTTGCGACCACTGTCATCGTCTGAGGCAACAAGTGTGCCCACATAACTGTCAGGTGGCAGGTTCTCCACAATGTGAAAACTCATATTTTTCGCTCCAACGTCATAACCTTCGAATCGCGGTGCGTTGTCGTTATCGTCAAGAACGTGCACGACAACGGTTACCGACGAATTACGTGGGCGCGTTCCGTTGTCAAACGCTGTTACTACCAGCTCATAAAGTTCATGCTGTTCACGGTCCAGCGGACGTCGAACGAATAGCTGTCCGTCTGGAAAGATTCCGAAACGAAGGTCCTCATTTCCCGATGAGATGTTGTACGACACTCGGCCATTGTCGCCAATATCGCCGTCACTTGCGTGTACAGTAAAAAATCGCTCGTTAAGTGCCATCAGCTCGGGAAGGCTGGTTTCATAAGATGCCTGATCAAAGGTGGGAGTGTGATCATTTACGTCTACCACAGCAAGAAGCACACGCTGGCGAGCTGACATGGGAGGATTCCCACCATCCGTTGCAATGATATCTATCTGAATGATTCGACCTGCATGATCGTGTAGCGAACGTGTAAGTACTAAAATTCCATTGTCCTGATCAATCGCAAAAAGTCCGTCACTGCTGTCTTCTAACGAGTAGCTAATGCGAGCATTGTCCCCGTCGTCGATGTCTTTTGCTTGTGATAGAAACAACTCAAGTCCAACTGCGAATGATTCAGGAACTCTAATTTCTACGTAGGGTCTTGCAAATACAGGAGGATTATCGTTCACGTCTTCAATATGTATTCTAGCAGTACATGTAGTAAAGTTAGCAAGCGTGTTAGCTACAATAAGCAGATCTACGAATGATGAGGTTTCGCGGTCAATAGTTACTGTGCCACTTGTTCTAATGACTGCTTGCAGCGGGTCGATACGGAACCATCCGTGGGGATCTCCGTCGACAATGGAATATTTTGCCCCATCGAGTTTTGATAGTTGACCGATTTCTCGCCCATGGCCACCGCCTATAGTCCCAGGGTCCTCAAGAAGCTGAAATGACTTGTCACACGATGGTTGCGGATGAAGAGTTGGTTGGTCGACTCGTTGTTGTTGTTGTTGCTTTCGGCTTCGAACGAACACGACGACCATCGCTGTACTTGGCGTGTTATTGATTGTGCTTTCCCCAGGGATTACCTCGAAAGGCTCGACGTTTGTGGCCATAACTGTGATCTCATATCGCGCTTGTTGACGCACATCGAGAGTTCGGGTATTTACGATCTGGCCGCTGGATGCATCAATCGCAAATCGTACTTCGGCTCCGCTGACTATACTATACTTTATTTTAGCATTTTGCCCCTCATCAGGATCGAACGCTCGTATCCTAGCAGTAAACTCTCCAGGCTGTAACCCGTCGTTTACTTGATAGAAATATACGCCAGGGTATATCGTTGGTTTATTATCATTGACGTCGGCTACATTTAAGGAAATATCTAGCGTTGAGGAGAGCGACGGCGTGCCATTATCCCGTGCTATAACCTTTAGTTGATAATGAGAAACTTTTTCTCGATCCAGTGTCGTCTTCGTCGTCAGTTTACCGTATGCTGCATCAATTTCAAACATACCACCGTACAGCATTTCTACCGATGGATGAAGCTCATAAGTGATTGACCCATTGGCTGCCAAGTCCTTATCAGTAGCGGCGACAATGGCGACGAGTGTGTGAGGCGGTGAATTCTCACTTAAAGTCACGTTTAGCTGTCCTCCAGGCGCAGTGAATGTTGGCGCTTCGTCGTTTTCGTCTAGGAGCTGAACGCGCAATGTCGCGTACGCCAGTTTCCTATTCGGTCCTCCATCGTGAGCTCGTATTTTTAGTTCAACAGAATCCTGCCCGGACAACGCCTCACGATCTAGCTCTCGAACTGTCGTTACTAATCCCGAACGTCTATCGATAGCAAACCAACGTCGTTCATCACCCGCTTCGATGGCGTAGAATACTTCAGCGTTTATGCCGCTGTCTGCATCGGTCGCCGTTAATGACTCAACGAAGCTGCCTGGAGGCGTACGTTCACTCAGTGAAACCATGCACTCGGCCTTCTCGAATTGTGGTGCATGGTCATTGACGTCATTCACTCGCACAACAAGGTGAGCCGTCGACGCGCGCATTGGAATGCCCCGATCGGTAGCGACTACAGTCAAATTATAGAAGGGAACCCGCTCGCGGTCGAGTACACCGGCCACACGAAGTAAGTAGAAATCACCTGAGTTCTGAAGTCGAAAGTGGGCCAGCTCATTGCCGCCGATAACACGCAGGTCAGTTTCACCATTGGGACCTTCGTCGCCATCGACGACCGAGATGGCTGCTACAACTTGGTTGTTTTCCGCGTTTTCATCCACTGACGCGTCCATGTCGGACGCTTCGCCGAAGACGCGAAACGAAATCTGCGGGTCGTGGTCATTGCTATCGAGCAAATTGATGGTCACGTACGTCCGACCGTCCTGCCTTGGCGAACCATGGTCACGCGCAAACACCGTCAGAACACAGCTTTTATTCGTAGCGTGACCAATGTGCTTGCCTTTTTCTTCGAGTTTGATCGACGCGGTGACAGGACAGTTTACCCGGTCGATCCCTGTAGTGATAACTCCCGTTTGCGGATCAATTGCAAAGCGAGTTTCGCCTTCAGGCAGATGATATGAAAGACGTGCATTGTCCCCAATATCAGCATCTGTCGCTCGAACCTCGAGTACCCGCGAGCCAGCGGCGGCGCCTTCATCGAGGCTGACAGTATATGCTGATTGGTCGAACATTGGTGGGTTATCATTGGCATCTGACAGCGTAACGTTGACAAGGAGGTAGCCTCGAAGCGGAGGTTGGCCCCCATCCTCAGCCGACACATTAAGCCGGTACGAAGGAGTCTGCTCGCGATCGAGTGGGCCTACGGTTGCAAGATAGAGGTAGACGCTGTCAGCCGTTGGGTTTGTCGTTGTCCGAAGCTCGAACTTGCCGTCATCGTTGCCCCCCACGATGCGGTAACGTAACGACGCGACGCCGTTTTGACCGACGTCTTTGTCGCTAGCGGCGTCGAGCAGAACTCGGGTGCCGACAGCACTGGCCTCACTCAGGGTCACGGCTAGCGACGATTCGGGGAACAGAGGAGCATGATCGTTGGCGTCTAGAACGATGATTCTCACCTCAATCGGATACGTTGGCTGGCTAGACAGCACAACTAGATCAAGACGTTCGCTTGGCAGAGATTCACGGTCGAGTACAACCGCGGTGCGAATCTCGCCAGTTGTCGCGTTTAGCTCGAACTCGTGCGGCGGCTCATTGAAGCGATATGTGAAATTCGCCCGCATTGGAATGAAGCCCACGGACGTGCCTATGGGAAGGCCCTCTTTGATTTCGAACACTTCACGAGTCGTCCCCCCGCCTGAGCCTACCGCGAATGCTACGAGCAGCAGCCATAGCATATGGCATCGCGGTAGGCCCGAAAACTTTAACCGCGTCTTCATTGACACTCAACCTGAAGCTTTTGTTATTTGCAAATGTGATGCTTGGCAGTTTCAGCTGTCGACTTAACTACTGATTTTTCCGTCATTTCGGTGACCCGAACCATAATACATGTCATGAGAACTAGTAATTGTCATCTTCATTAATTTTTTACATTTGTTTGTCAACAACAAACGAAGAAGCAGCCGCATCTACAGAATTCACATACTGCTCGTTTTCTTCACGGGCACTAACGATAGACGATGAGATCAACTAGTAAAACGTGTTGCTAATCCTCGAATTGCACCACCGCAAATAGTTCCCTGTCAACGATTCTCACTGTTAACTACTTTCGGTGACACTCCCATATCCAATGTGGTAGAGAAAATCGTTTCTTATAATTATAGAAACATCGTTGTCGTCTTCAGGTATTATAACAAGCAATAAACTTCATAATGGTACACTGCATCGAAGTCATCATTAACCACTTCCAACGTACCGGTAATAGCAGTAAACACAGAAATACACTTTCACCCAGAAGTTCACCATGACGAGCCACCAATCGATGTTATTTGCCTTAATTACAGGTACGCCACCTCCGGCAACTGCGATTTGTTGCGAGACAACAGGCTCCGACCAGCTGCTAACTACAATGTCGCAGTCATAATCACTGTTACCTCGAGTTTTACTGCTGCGACTACCGGCGCGACACCAAATTACATTGGCTACGACGGCTCATGACAAGTAGCTCGGCCGGTACGCCAAAAAAACGAGTAATTGAACGACAAACGCACATACAGCGCTTCGAAACATGCATAGCTTAGCACTCGGTAGGAGGAGATAACTGTCCGTTACTACCGTATAATGTAGAAATCACTTCACCTGCACAGTACGTGGCTAAAGCCTAGGGGACTTTGCTGGTCGATGAATCGCACTACAATGGAAAACCTCTCTCAACTGCTGTTCGTACCTTACTGAACTACCCCTCAGTAGCACATCCACCGCTGACTGAACCGTGTAACTGACTGTCGTACACACAACGATATTCCAAACAACTATACCAATTCAATTGCAGCGATATCGAGCGGTGCCATGCAGATCCCGTTGGGTCGCGGAGTTTGTTCTTCACACACCGACTGGCCCATGGCCTCTGCCGTGCTTCTCTATCTCTTACTGTTCTACTCGGTGCATCACTTGCTCTTGTCGTCGCGGCTGTTTCGATTCCTTCTCTAGCGCGACTCCAGAGGCGGTAGCAAAAGCAGCGGCGACGGCTGCGGCATCATCAACAGCAGCAGCAGCAGCAGCGGCAGCGGCCACGGCGGCGAGAGAAGCCGCGTGCACCATGCGTCCGTTTGTACTTTAGCAGCTCATAGCAGCTTTAGCTTTGACGAGAACTAATCGGCAGGCAGCGGCGATCGGCGAGTGCTACCAGTTTAAGCGCCGGCCGACGGCGCGGTCCAGCAACTAGCATCGACATCGAGCGTCCACCGGGTAGCTAACCAGCGGCTGCTGCGGCAGCAGCAGAAACACCGACGGCGGCGGCGGCAGCAACGGCAGCCACGACCGTAGCCCTCCACTCACTTCTTTCTCCTATCGAGCTTGGCTGCTGCTGCTGCTGCTGCTGCTGCCGATGTTGTTGTTTCGCTGGCGCTGTTGGTGTGGATGCCCGCCGTGGCGTTCACAGTTGTCGAGGTCGGCTTCGTCGTCTTCTTCGTCTTTGCGGCGTCTTTGCTTTTGGCTTCCTCCGCTCGATGGAGCACCAGCGATCGGCCAGGGCACGGAGGAGCAGCAGCGCCACACCAGCAACGACGGAGCGGACCGATCCTCGCGGAACTCGAAAGCGACGACGAAGCAGAGAAGAGAAGAGAACGAACGGGCAAGCGGCTCGGTATCGAGCAAGCCTGGACGAGCCTCTAAGCGCAAGCACGATGCGGTCGTTAAATGTCTCGCTGCTCAACAATTGGTTGCTTGCTTGTCCTTTTCGTTTGTCCGTATAGCGCGACTCAGCTGCCGGCCGCCGCTGCGGTACAAACGGGAGCGCGATCCACCAGCAGGTCAGCCGACTACCTGCCTACTTTCTGTTCTCGGCCCTAATGTACCAGCCAGCGACAGCGAGAATCTACTTAGAGGGCTACGTTCAGGAGGACTCGCAGCAGCGTGGCGACAGTAGCAGCACCGCAAAACTACCCTTATTAGCAGCAACGACAACGACAAAGGGACGACCAGCAAGGTGGGTATGCATGATCATCATTAAGTACTAAACAAGGCTGCCGCGCTACTGCTGGGGGTACTTTCATTGCCAACCGGGTGCACGCCTCCCGGCTACTTGAAAAACGGCTACTTGAACCGACGGAGCAAAAGACAAAACCAAAAAATGAAAAAGATATCATGGAAGAAAAAACAAGGTAGACCCAACAAGAACACAAGGTAACGAATAGCAGCGGCAGTGACAATAGCGGGTAAGACGACCCACAGGACAGTCACCCCCGTCCTTACCTTCTACCCCAACTTCTGCCGGTTTGACACGAACAAGAAAGCGTGAAGAAAGACGCTACTTGCCAGAGACCAAACCTTCAGCAACAGGTTTCCTTTGGTAATTTACAGATAACTCGCAATAATTTCTCTAGCTTCGACGTAGCCAAAATTTCGACACTACCTCACGCAGTTGAAGAAGGGAACAGGAAGAACTTTAACTAAACGAAGCGCCCGAGTCACAGGTCAGGATAAATGAAACATCAAGCGATAGCCGCATAACAACAATAATAGTAGCGCGATCTTCTCAAGCATATTCTTAAACTCCAAATGATTTGAATAGGAAATAATACAGGGTGAATGACTTTCACACTGTTCGTACATTCGGCGGCAAAAAAATATAGTGACTATAATTTAAAATCAACTTGATAAAATTGTATATACATATATATATATATATATATATATCTCTTCATAAAATGTTCCATTATTACTGTTGCTGGGATTTGCGTTCTGCATTACTCGACTATTGAATATGACGGCTAGTTATTGTAACGGGGACGACTAATAGTCGCCAATTTTTGGACGATTCGCGGAACTACCTAGGCAAGCAGTTCGCTGTTTTGTTTAGGTCCACTGCTCCTTTTGTTGCAGCTTTGATTCTGGTTTGCTTCTAAGCGTACGCTACCGGCAGTGCTGTTACGAGAGATCCATGATACAAATGGGCCTGCTCGCTCTGATCGGGAGCTGCACCCAGGGGGGGGGGGTGATGTGTTTGTAACACATTTGTTTCATTACTGGTATTTTCTCAAGGTTTTTCAAACTCACGTTACGAAAAATCTATTCAGGAGATAAAAATGCATGGCGAATGCCCTCTATTGCTAACTATATAAATATAGAGCGTAGGAAACATTGTGTATGAAAGTCGATGCTGTATATGTATGATGCTCAATGACCAGAGCGCGAAAGAAGGCTACATATGAACCAAATGCAAGAAAAGTCGATCCATAACGAGAGCTGATTTCAATAATTGGAATAATACAAATGTGTCGTAATTAGTTCACGCTGCGAAGCTTTGTGAGTCCATTTAAATAATATGCATTCTGTGGCTTATAGCAAAAACATCTAGTTACGAATAGAGATCAAAACAGGTATTTGCTGCAAAGATATGTATCCACACTGTCTTATGCTGATTGCTTCGAAACATATGCCTGCTTTCAGTATACGTAAGACCTAAAGTCGTAAGAGCGAGATCTGAAGCCATCGCCGACAAAGTTCCACAGGGGATTATACAATTCGTTTCGTCAAAAATGCCAATAATGCAAAACATACGAACAGAGGAATTTCATCTTATCGAAATAAGCCTTCCTCGATTTACATTCATCACATGTTGCGTGGCAAACAATAAGCGGGTAATTCCCGAAAAGAGAATCGAGAACCTAAGAATTTCAAATGTCGTTGAAAAGTAATCCTAATATAAAAGGTCAATATTATATCCTAGACTAAATATTTTCGCTCAGTAATTAGGGCGAATCACGATGTAAGCACACTCTGCATAAATACGTTATATCGGCTCGTTAGCATGCCGATTAACTCTTAGTAAGCCATTTTGCTCATGTACAGATATCTTAAGATGTGTGTGATACTTGCCACCTGCAGCTTTTAATAAGTTTTCCGCAGCCAGCGTCAACGCTTCCTAAACTTTCTGTTCTTTGAGACGCAACAGATACATTGAAATCATTAGAGGAAGAGTTTTACAAAGACGCATTGAAAAGGCTATTACAGTTTCAGTTCTAACCGTAAGTGATGTCACGATGCCACGTTTTTCATGGCAATTCGATTCATTGAAAGGGGTTTGAATGCCTTTGTTAAACAGCAGAAAAATTTTGAAGCTTGAATCTCTTAAGTTCCCGCTGACACGAGCGACCACCGAACAGTAAAAACAGGTCTCACCGGGTCCTGGAAAACTCTGCGACACCAAGTATCTTTTTGCCTTGTTTAAACTTCTATCGAGACTTATCATGGCGCCACGTTATATTGATCTACAAAAATCACAAAGCATCCGAATCTGAGTAGAGAATCAGACTCGGACAGGTTTTTGAAAACGGTGGTGCCTAGGTTCCTCATGGAAAAGGTAGCTAAAAATCAGTTATGGCAAAGTTTGAGAGGATCAGTTGTTCCCGTAGTGCCGTAATGTAAACAAATTCCCGCTTTCACTGTTTACCCCATTCATATATAGTCATAGATAATTTCGATTGAATATTACATATGGCATAACAATATTTCTTTATTTCCATGCTCTGAACATTTAGCCACGCGTTCTGCGTAATACTAGCCAAAACATATTGTCAACCTTTGTGATCTATTTAGTAGGCGCTTGACAAATGTCCTCAGTCTACCTTCGAGGGTTATTTTAGCTGAGTATTGGTACCAGAATGCTATGTCTTGCTCACTGGGTGTACATATAAGGACAAATCTGTCCAGAGTTTTATAAAAACGGGTGGAAAGGTTGACACTGTGCTCCCCACCGATCGATATTGTCTCGTATAGATAATTGCCAGTAGTCCTGCCACCTGTGCAAAGTATGTATACTCATTGTCTTCTCCAAAAAGCAAAATGAATCATAAACACTTCAGTATGTTTTCTTTAATTTTTTTTCTAGTGCCTGAAACTTCCTTGCTCCAATAGCAGTACTATGTACGAAACGACGATGTCAAATTTAGAGATACAAGCAAAGCGCAGTAATACAACGCACATAATTACATAAACGTCTAAGAAAATGAACTGATAAGGACAGCTTGCCAACCAAGAACCAGCTATGTCTTCACAGTCACCAACAGTACCGAGATTGCGAGACTGATGCAATTAGTGCCAACATGTATATGTTTATTTTTTTCAAATGTTTGCTTTCGGCACCAGACGGCGTTGCAGACTTATATTAGCGTGTATAAACCTAAACGTATTTGCGTATTACACGTTATTTAGATCAACATATTACATCGAGCACATCGACAATTAAGGACATGCGCTGAATTCTAAAGGAAGAATTTCGAAAGCTAGATTTTGTTGCATTAGTTCCACAATATCAGGCGCGATGTACTCTAACGACAAAAAAAAATCAGACAAATCGGATAGTTAGCTTGGTTGGCTTGCTTTTCAGGTTAGCTGAAGATCTAACCCGGGATCCAGTAAGCGTTATTTTGACCCCTTACAGATGTCGCGACGTAAGTAAAATGTTTTAAATTTTACTGTCTGCTAGATAAAACAAAATATAATTCCTATTCCTAAAAATGACTTAAGTTTTATAAACTTACTAGCTTACAGCAGAACTGTGATGATGATAATACAATTTAATCATAAAAAATAATATAAAAATAGTCGGAATTTTGATGTGATTTAAATCTGATTTCCCTATGGGATAGTACCTTCTGGTAGATTGATACTGTTTGAAGCTAAGACACTCTGATGGTAGTACTTTCAGCAATCGGCACCTCACTGAGTTGATTCCTTTACAGCAATTGATTAAGAATAAGGATTATCTTGGAATAACTACCATGGATTTAGTAAAACATTTGCTTATGGAAAGACAATTGGGGCCAGACGCCTGTATCCAATTAATGACAACTCTTTTCATTCATGAAAATATGGGTCGCTGGAGCGACCTGCAGTGGCTATTACTGTAATTAACTAAGACTCTCAATATAAATATTGTAAAGGTAGTAGCAACAACAATAGTCGAGCCAGATTTAATATGAACGACCAATCCGAACTCTTTATTTAAAACGGAGCTCTAAAAATTATTTTCAAAAACTACCTACACAACCCATTAACTAAGATCGACAAATTCACCATTCATGCTAAATAAAAAAAGGTCCCAGAAATGTATGAGCTAACATAGATACAATTACCAATACCACTGATGATATTACCAGTTACAAATCGTCATTCTTAACTAGACTCTGAATTACGTAAAAGCATGTTTCTATAAAACTAAGCTGATTTTACTGGGAAGCTTTCAAGTTCAGCTCACTAAATAAAATAGAGCAGATCAATATTTTTTGTGCTTTATTTATTTATTTAAAAAAAAAAACTCAATTCGCATATATCTAAAAATATATGATATTCGATTTTACTAAATTGGTCTCGTATGATAGAACGTATTGTAGACGTTTCTTATTTTTTATTGCGCATTACCTGGAACCATAGTAATCGTCAACTTGTATTCTATGCACATGCTTAGCATCATCGTCAGATCCTTTCGGCCTCGGTTTCCGGAGACCTTGAATTTCCATTGTACAGGAATCTGTTCGAATTGTCTCCGGATAACGATGTTGATATATGTCGTAGCAATGATTCTTATATCGTTATTCTCAACTGAGCGTTTCTTACGATAGGCAATGTGTTGATATTTTTCTCGATTCAATATGCAAAATGTTTATAACTTGTTATCTGTAGAGAATCATTCGATAGTTAACGATGTAGATTGTGGATCTAGCATTGAAGTCTATTTCGCCCATTTAACGCACTAATCGCGACATATTAGTTTCGTTCGGTGTGCAGTATCCGGCATGAATTGCTCTCTATACATAACACAATCGCTCGTTTCATAGACATCATCTTTCAATAAGATAAATCGTCGTTTTACCTGTAACAAGATAAAGATACAGACACATAAAGATACACTCGGAGTCACCGTTCGCTGTTCAAAAATTTTTATTCTAACACAAACTATAAAAACTATATCTCTCGTATATATTTTAATTTGTAAATTCCAAACAACAAATTGAATAAAAGCGGATTAAATCAAATAAAAAGGTGATTACGTATTGATTTAGATGGTCAACAGTTGCGCAGTGGACATGCATGCAAACGCCGGGATGTTCGCCTCACCAGATTAATTTAACCCCGATACAGATGATGTTGAGGAATATCAGTGGAATCTTTGCCAACTTCACCGAGTAAATTATATTTGCTATTTGTGTTTTGGCACCCGGCTGCTGATATCCTTGTATAGCTGAAAAGAATAAAAAAATGTATAACAATGCGAAAGAAAAACTTCATTATCCATTCGATTTTCTATTTTGGGTGAGCAATTACATTGCTGTAACTGTTGTATACAAATCAACAAAAATTTATACATCTTAACTATATATATTCAAATAAATTGACAGAAACTTATATATGTATATAGATATATATATATATATGCACACACTAAAATAAACCGTACAAGAGAGAAGTAAAGATTCACTTATTACCAGCGTCTCGGCCGAGGCCATACTTGCAGAGAAACCGCTCCTCGTGGAGAATTGCAATTGCATTCATCACTAACAGAGCTGCTTCCAGTAATGAGTAGATGCCGAAACCCATTTTTCCTGGGGTAACGGATCATAAGTGGCCAGTTTTATTGCACCAACACATTGACTGATAGATATTAAGTAGGTGAAAACATTATCCATGTTCGCAACAACCATAAATTAGCAAACGCTAATTCAGAAGTTGTCAAAATTTGTTGAAATAACTTATTGTAAACAGTGTTATGTACGTTATGATGTTTGCATCATGATATAGTATAATCTCTTATCAAAAAACCAAAAATAATTATAAAGACTTGGAAGCTGTTAAGATATGGATACCAACGCATCCGAACGATCAGAAGAAGACATTTGCAAATTGATAACTCTAACTATCTCCAACACAAAAACAACCTATTTTTTCATCTGCTAAACTTCAATTAAGCGAATTTTATCGTCTGTTATACATATACAATGGACCTCATATACTCTTAAATCTCACATACTCCGTTAAGCTCTGAGTTACCCAGAGAACTGGATTTTCAGCTCTTTCCTTTTCTTCTTCTTTTTCACACTTTTTACGTTTCCATATAATTGTATTATTTGTCACAAGTTTCGTGCAGGATGGCAGTAGGATCAAAGTTGTCAGCTGGTTTGAATCTACCCTAAGCGACAGAACTCGTCGACTAAATAGAGATATCTTATGGCCAACGAAACCCACAATAAACAAATTATAAAATGCAAAGATAGCCAATGATAAAAATAAAGCAACAATTCATCTAAGGCGATTTTCATCTAAACACAACCTTTAATCGGACCTAACTAATGTCCATACCCAAATTTTAGAGTTGAAAATCCGGTTTTATTTATTGGTATCATGTCGAAGCTGTCTTAATGCTCGGAAGAGCAGTTCCGACTTATAGCCCGCTTTCATTTCTGCTTACATCGAACGTGTTTTGTTGTGACGTGTTGGGGTCACCGTTGAGAACGCGAAGAGCAAGCGACCAGTCGGTGGAGCTAGAATAAATTTCCAAGAAAACAGAGCCCGTAATATACTAAACGCGTTGCAGAATATAGCGCAGAGAAGGAAATATTCTGTGGCTTTTTCATTAGCGAAAACGTCCTCAGTGCTCTGACAAGAATGTTCTCGTTCCTCAATTCGTGGTTTTCAATGGTGAGTGTATGATTTCGACCTGTGACAGGTGGCCTATGGCACCTTTATGCGCTTGTATGTTCTATCTCCCTGTTATAGCAGAGTGAGTAACGTGTATGTCAACGCAATGGGGCACGTAGTACTTTAGGCTCGAACCCGAACGAATTTTTTGTACTGCAAGCCAGTCGTCTGAAGTAATGCGGCTAAAATTCCCAACACAAAACATAAGCGTGTGGCATAAATAATGAAGGGTTAGGACAATTCAGTCCTAATTGCTCGAACGGGGTCCACTGACAGGTTTTAGGTAGCTAAAGTGCGTTCGGTTATACATATAGTGCGCAATAATTGTAATCCTCTAAGTAACGTATATAGTCTTATTAAACGACCGCGTGAACACCTGCTCATAGTAAAGCTGGTGGAGTTAATGAGAATTATGACTGGCTGTTAGAACCTTGTATTGAAGGCAATTTTGCGTGGCGATTTAAAAAAAATTGACTATTAATTATTGGCCAAGTTATAACTACGACAACATTTATCGGAACTTCCATATTTATTCGAATGTGCATATCGGGCTGGTACCGTGATCTCAATTATAAGTACCTTATTAATTATAGATTTCATTTGATTCGGTGTTCATTGGAAATGGTATGCATGGTATGTAAGTGATTTGTGTGAAAATGGCTTCTTTGGCATCTACATAGTTAAATAATAATTATACGTTTGGAATAACGTAAAGTGAATAATCTCCTCGTGTTAGTATACGTGGTTTAGGATGATACGGATTTAGACTTCTTTCGTAGGTTTTTTTTTGCATTTTATTATCAATCAGGTACCTCTTTGATAGGTCTCCTAGCACACATCTTAGTGCTTCTGTGTTGCGATATTGGATTAAACTTCAGTAAGTATTATGGTTGCATAATTTACATTTGACACTCTAACGGAGAGGTTTATTACTCGCATTTTTTTCCTTTCTGTCTTAGGATTTTGAGGGCCAAAGACGGGCCGAAAAGATCTTCCAGTTGATCATCGCGCTCTCAGCTGTTATTGGATTTTTCGTGGGATTTGTCTTTCAATTGTTTTCCTATTCAATCTTTACTCTGGTTGGAGGCTGTATCTTGTCATGTATGGTACGTTATATATATATATATATATATATATACTTGAAGCTAAATCTGTGTACATTTAAAATCTGTTCTATTTAGAGTTCAAAAAAAGTTTCAAAGACAGTCTGTCAAATGTTGCTGTTGGCTACACAGGAATCTATATTGTGTTTCAACGGCTTCTTACTCCTTGTAAAGAGTTAAGGAAAATTTTGTCTTCTTACACTATGTGTCATAGTTATATCATAAGCACGATCTCGCTTTTATTTATTTATTCACTTCAGAAAGAACATAGGTGTGCCATCAAAAAGCAAAGACCGCAAGGGTTTTATTGACTGGTTACATGACGAAGTTCAATTTCAGTGCAATGGACAACACTTGATCTCGGCGACACTTGGCGTAGAAAATCCTTTATAAAAAAGTCTAAAGAGGTTTTTGTTGACATATTTTTAACAGGTGGCTATTTTATTTCATAGTCTATTTCATACGAATGTTTGCACGCATGTTTTCTTCCACTTCAGATCTGCCTGTTCAACTGGCCGTGGTTCCAGCTAAAACCGCTTAACTGGCAAAAGCCCCTTGAGGTGTGTACTATTTCTGCACACTTGCTTAGCTTCAGAAATACTAAGTAAACGCCCCATGCGTGCCTCGGTGTCTACAAATCTAACAGGCGCTAAATCTGAATTGGTTAAACATTTTTTTTTCGATCCTGAGTTTAGGGGCACATGGCTTGGTCGACCTCTGCATTCCGACAAAAGCTAAATTTAAAAAGTTGAGGGCGTAAGGATGTATTGGTAACTTTTTTGTATTTTGGTATTTATGACATTTTTTAGTATTGGCATTTATAGATGACTCATTATAATAAATTACATATTATGTGCAAAATTTCACAGTATCAGGTGCAGTGTCATTGAAATTGTTGAAAATTAATTAGTTAAAGAGCAGTGAGATTTACTTTATTTTTAGTTTTTGTTTTACTCGCTATTTTTTTAAAGAATACAACGGAAGTCATAATTTTTTTCATCTCTAGCCAGGAAAGGCAAGCTGGTAGATATTTTATATCACATTATTTTTAGTCATTAGTATAGTGGCTATGTTTTTTTATGAAGTTGATTGTCTGTGTTTTGCGGATATTCCGACTATATCATTTTGCATTTCTATTCCAGCCATCGTCACCGGGAGACACGAAAAAAACGAAATAGAGGCGATGTCATACGTGTGCAGTAAGAGTGGCCGGCCCAAACGAGTGATTCTCTATTTGTGTTCGAAAATGGAAATTAGCTGTAGCAACTTTTTAATAAAGTCGAACGATGTTTGATTTGTCTTCTTGGGATCATGTATAACGCCAGTTGCAACCCAGACAAACTGCAAATGTAATATTTTTTAATTTTAACTCTCCGCCCTAGTATCGATACTAATGTGAATATACCGACTTTTGTAATATATAAATAAATATATAAATGCATATGAGCAAAAATATTTTTTCCATTTTTTTTCATACACGCTAATCTGTATATCGTATTTTTGGCGAGATTTGAAGGAGCGGCCTTTGCATTTTTGAGCTAGAGGTTAAGCCATTCAAGGCGTCCGTATAAAGGATTTATTATATCATTTGCTGTCTATACGCAAGCGAAATACTACTTACTTACCCCATGTAGACTTTCAAACTGCTTAGTTTAGTCAAGAATGAGAGCTCAATGCGTAGAAACCAGATAAGCTAAAATCGGTTTGTTCAACTTTCCGTCTATAATTTGGACATACTAATTTAGTAACTTAAACAATATGCAGGTAAATGTAACAAACAGTGCCGCAAGAAGTTTAAAATAGAATAACTATTTTTGGATTTGATCTATATAAGCCATTTAACTTTGTTTTTACTGTCTTTATGGTACAGGATCTATTCCTAGAAAATGTATAAGGTAGAGAAAAAATTGAGAAAATAGTTTTTTGTTATAGATTTTTTTTCGCTCAACTTCAGTGTCCTTAGTTCTAGTAAACTGTGTCTGCTATAGGAGTGAAAGAAACAAGGGGTCTGTGATCTTTCTTTTTTAAAGAAAGCTCATAAACGTACTGAACTTAACTTGGGTTAAGATAACCCAAGTTAGTTCAGTACGCTTATGAGTTCGCGCTTTAGCCATATATCATGCAATTGGTATCGAACGTATATACACGGTACGAAATGCATCAGGGTACGGTTAAATAATACAACAAAGGCTCCTACGTCCAGAGGTAGGTAATCGTGCAGAAGAAATCCTTACACAGTTTCAAGAGTGCCTCAAGTCATGTAAAGAGCTTATAAACTTTTTCGAAGCTTTTGTTGTTAGAGAATTGATCGAAAGTGAAACATGCACTGCAAAAGCTATACTGGTTTTAGTTACTTGAACAGGTGTTCTTATGTTTATCTTAATACGATGCGTAAATTTGGTACTAAAAGCATTAAATTTGCCATATTCTAATTCAACTAAGTAGATACAGCAAATTAATTATTGATTCGAAATTAGACAAACTGCGGCCTCTAAAGGAAAGTATTTTAAATTAAAAAAGTTACTAATAATGTAAGGGTCCTTGATAATATTTTAATTTATTCGTGATTCACGTAAAGTTAACGCATGCTCATAACCATCGAGCCTATCTAGGTATATGACAGTTTCCCTTATACTCGTGTATTGAAGTCTATACATTTACTGTATACTATTAGTCTCTTGCTTGACGAAAGATCGTATTAGGGTAACATCTCAATATAGGAATCAGTATATCAATATAGATATACCTTATTATATACAGTTTATATATACACAGTTTGTTCGATAGAAACGCTTTATTTTCTTTGTTTCCTCGATGTCCACTAGTGCGCTAGCAACGCGATGGAGGAAAGAAGCAGGGGGTGAAAAAAATATCCATGAGTATGGCCGAAGGTCGATTCTAACGAAATTATCGTTTTCGTTTTGTTTTTTTTTGCTAGGCCATGCTGAAGGTCTATGAACTATTGGGATTGACTGCCCAAGGTGGAGCCTAAGACGCCGAAAGGTTTTATATAGATTGTGTAGCCATCTTTAGCGCCATCTAAAATATACGCGTACCACCGAGCGCTATGTTCACTAAAATACATCTTGCAGTTATTTGAAAAAACGGCATCGAAATAAAGAAGGAAGACCGAATTAGCTCCGCGATAACTGACTTAAGTTTAGCGGCAAGGCAGCCTCCACTATAAATTCGGCTGTTTTGTAATAACTTCAATAGAATTTTTTCTCTGGATAATAAACCCCATTCTCAAATATGGTTTTGTAAAATTTAAATTTTGGATGGGTTCTAGGTTTTTCTGCGCTGAATTGCAATTACAGAGATCGCATAAGATTCGACAGAATGGGTGCACGGAAACGACGTTATTCCCTTTGTACAACAAGGCTGAAATGTAAATGTAGACATGTGCTTGAAGGCTGTTGTATTCGCACAATATATAAGATTCTGGATCTCTGTTCTTCTCATATGGCGTGTATGGCGTCGTCACTGTGGCATGAACTACCTTTATTTATATTTTGTCTTTGGATCGTACGTTGACTGGTGGCAATAAACACTCATCTAAACGCATTTCAAGGATCGGTGTCTGATGTAAATGGTAAAAATGGTGATTCTACTGGCTATACAGCAGCACGTCGGTTGCAAGCGGGAGTTTCCAGCTCATTGACACCCCCAGGTACCCCATATCATAATGGTATTATTCAAACGTCACTTCACAAATGTTCACGCCTCCTTGCACTTGATATCTATCATTTTTCTTTGCCTCTGATATTCTATGTCATCGCTTTGCGTGGTATATTTGCTTATTTGCTTCAAGAAGATCTTGCCTTCTGAGAATTGAGAACTTAGACGAAGTGGTCAAGAATGTGCTTAGAGTGTTACTGAACCTCACTCCGTTCCTTGTAAAGAACATCCAAGCAATGTTACGACTCTTATGTAGAACCTTTAGCTTACTCAAAGTGGCAAAGCTAATGGCTTCTAGTCACTCGGAAGCTTTCCACTGAGCTAAAGATATGACCTCAAGTCTTTTATAGGCTGACGCTTATCGTTTTCCACAAAATTTCATCGAAACGGCTATCATTTTACGGATTTAATGATAGAAAGTAGGCGATCTTAGAGAAGGTTAACGTGACAGCATCATTAGAGCGGCATCCTTTTCGTTGAGAGGCATACAATCCAATTAAACGCTTTTATTGAAGAAAGAGAAATTGCTTAACTTTTTTCCGTAACTGCATCTTAATGTACGTAAGATACACAGAGTACCTTTAGAGCTGACTGCCAAATACAACGCATATATTTGTACAAATATGTTTGAGCGTTCTTAGAGTACTTCTTTCACTTTTTTTTTTTAAATTCTGTTGATGTATAAAAGTGGATTTAAGAGCAACATACGTGATAATAGCAACGCTTCAATTCTGTGAAAATGACATAGCAAAGTTTCAATTCGACTTTAGCTTCTTCTATATTATTTTTGGTATTCAAAAGACGACAAGAAGACACGTGTTTTTTTAACCTGAATTTTGCAGATTTCTTTGGAATAGGTTCGCCTTTGAAGTCAAGTATAGACAACTGTGCTTTTGTTCCATCGTTGTATTCATGCATCTAGCCCCTATCGCATGCTGTTGAAGTGAATTCCGCTCACCTTTTACTGCCTTGAGGTTCTATTGGTATAGTTCCTGACGGGTCTGCATTTGCTCAAAATTAGGTCCTTTGACACAATCGTTTCTGTAAACCTTTTTGTTCAGAAATGATTTTTCGTAAAGATCCGATAGGATTTGTGTGACGTCTTCGATTTTATGCAAGCTCCTTGAGAGTTATTCGGGTTTCCCTCAACGTGAGTTCTTATTTTTTTTAACATTTTTTTTTGTTTGTGTCCTTTGTTACAGCTCCTTCAGAATGAAATGGGCTTTTAAAGCTCTACTATCATCACAAAGCGTTGCCAGACTCAGCATGAGCTAATAGTCTGGCCAAATGAAAGTAAATTGTCAAAGTTACCATTTACTAGTGAGCACTTGATCTTGTTTTTAACATAAAGCCTCTATGTTTCGAGTTTTACGTTCGGTATTGCCGTTAGGCATTCCATCATACGTCTAGCTGGCTCCCAACACGAAACAAAGTCGGTCTATGACCGGGTTTAAGCCTAGATTACAATGTAGAGCCTGCCACGTCCTTTTATATTCCATTTTTGTTTTTCAAAAAAAAGGTGAAAATCATCCGTTTTAAGGCTTTTGTAAAATTCGAGGTAAATATTCCAGTACCCTGAAAATCATAGCAGGCAGTTAGTAAAACGCGGCTCCATAAGGGTCAACCTTCACAGGACAAAAACCGAGCTGTTATCGAACATTTTTTTTTATTTGGAGGTACATACGATTCAGACAATGCATTGCGGCTATACAAACCAGAGCCATGCTTAAAATATATATGTATATTCTTCCCAGAAATATATATATGTATATATATATGTCCGGCAAGAAAACGTTAGTCTCTCTGCTTTTCTTCCCTTCTTTCTTAATAGAGTTGCGGTATCTGGCCACAGACTACAAGCCCGATCTGCCTGTTCCAGACACGAAGAGCGCCGTTTGTCCTCCATGAGGAATAAAAAAAATGTCATATCGCCAGACTGGGCCTAACTCTTATTACTTCTTCGCCAAAAAAAGATCTTAGCTCGTGTAATTTGTTACGACCGACAAGTGCAGTCAATGGAGCCGTTGAAGGTGCTATGGTGTGGAAACATCTCTGGGTTCCCCCTTACGGTTACCACGCCGTGACGATGATTGTCGTTTCATTTTTTTGCTTGTGGCGGTTACTACGCTAGCCATAGAAATACCGCCATTTTGACTTGAAACAGAGAAAAGAAGCAACATTAGAATTACATGAGGTCTGGTCACATTTATGCTGGAAGCTCGATGTGTTGATATGTAGAAAGAACATTCATAGGCACTTGGACAGAAACACTCCGTAGACTGCATGAATGCTTGAGATGTTGAACTATAAGAAACGTTAGTTTGGAGCATGGTAAGTTAAGAGCGCAGAATATGTGTACACGAAAGGCAGAAAATCTATAAAGACTCAGTCTTGTAATCAACGATAAACATTGATGATAAATGTTAAGTAGAACACAAAGAGCTATACTCCATAGAGCAAAAGACTTTCTTTCCACTCTTGTCTAGAATCTTAGGCAGTAAAGGCATAAGCATTGTTCTAAAAGTAACCGCGTAGAAGAACTTCTTATGGTGGTTTGCGCTAGATTTGCTTACATTTTATTATTTGCTCGATATTAAGGAACTATTTGCTAAACTGCATATCGTGGTGTACAACTTAGTTGAGAGTCATGACTGTTCAATTTTTTTTTTTGTGTGTATCTTTCATGTTTTAAATAGCATGCGAGTAGTTTCTTTTATGATCTTTACATAAAAAAAATGCTGTCTTTCTGCTGACGGGCGCTAGTGAATA